ATCGGAACAGTTAAGGCCGACAATGTGTAGAAGAAGGCGGGTCAGACGGGACTTCCCCGGATCATTACAATCAGTTATGTGTATAATATATGATGTTAAATCATCATAAACCACTTCTACCGTTAAGCGTCGTGGGGAGGAATAATGTGCGATCCAGTGCACGCTGGCTGCCACTGGCTATTGTCATGCCGTGAAGGCTTAAGATGTCTTTAATGTTGTCGATCTATTATCCGCGGCCATCCTCTTGCTCTTGTAGCTGATCTTCTGAGATGTAGTTCCTGTTATGGTATTTGATATTGCTGCATTCTAACTGACCAAACCACTTGATCTGCTTTTTTTTTTAATGAATCTAGTTATAGTACAAGGTGTCTTTCCCACAATTTATCCTTATTCACTCGATCTCAGATGGTTTGGTTGGCTGCTTTTCTCAAGGCATCTCATCTCGCAGGTGGTGATTTTGCGTATATGGGCTTTAAATAGTGTTTATGTTTGGCCTCCCCACTCCTCCATTTTTTGGGGTTTTAAATGTATGTTGACGCCCCTGTGTGTTTATCCTTTTTTCTTTTTTGTAAGCACTACAGACAATAATGATTCATTGGGTTTTCCCCGTGTCAGTTTTTGAATTCCCGTCACTATCTGACGAGATCTACAAGAGTGGGAAAACATTTTTGTATGGTGTCTATTTATACCATCTACCACAGCCGGATGTAAAATTGTACTTATACGTTTAGTAGTCAATAACAACGGCCCTGTAGTGCAAGTTTTGTTGTTTTCAGAATCATACATAAGCCTGGATGGTTACAAAAATAAACGTGACCCATCTTGGTATGCGCTGTTAAAACTTAGTTCATGTTGTGTAATGTGTTTTTATCGTTATTATTCAGTCATTGATTCTTTCTGTCGCAGGATGTAATTTAACACTTTCAGGCGACTCACTGTACGTTTTTTGATTACTTTTTTTGTGGTGATTACCTTTTTTTTTTTTTTACATATCCAGAAACCATGAGTTGTAAACCCTTTAGCCCGATACTATGGATATCCCAACCCTTCGGCCTATATTCCATGACAGATACCGTAAATCCGGGAGATATATGGCTTTTCTGCCTACCCCCGGGCGGGAACACGGACCACAAGGAGTTCGTTACTCGTTCGCCGCGCGGATGGTTTTAACCAACTGAGCTAACTCGCCGGGCAATAAGGTGGCGTGTGTGGACTTCCCTGGCTTAGGCGTTGCGAACGCGCTTCCCAGTGCTGGGTTCGATCCCAGCTGCGGCCGATTTGACAGCAAACCGCATTGCGTTAGTTTCGACAGAGAGCAGACCGTTGAGTGAACAGTGGCAAACTACTCAACGTATTATTGCGCAGCAAAATCGTGGACACTGAAATATAACAGATCGCTATGTTGAGAAGCTTCAGGTGGTAGAGCGCCTATACTGCATTCCCCGTGTGGATTCCGGGGCCTCATTTTTAGGGAAAGAAGAATAATCTCCCCCCCCCCCTCCCCTCCAGCAAACATGCCAGTAATTTTGTTTACTTTGAAGTCGGAGTTCGTCTGCCTGAGCAGGGCCAACTCTAGATATAAACACGACTGTCTTCTGTTAATTAAAATTAAAATTGCTGTATATCCACTTCACAATATCCGCTTGTAGATTTGTAATACGAATACGTTTAGAACACAGGACTTTGTAAGCATATTAAAATGTCACACAATGCAACATGGAAACGATTCCAGTAACTTATTTTCGATGTACCGAGATTCAGTTGTCAGGACCAATATACAGCCGGACGTGGCCCGAGTTTGCATACAAAGAAGCCAAATCCGTAAAACAGAGGTGCTGGCAAAACTGGAAGTTCTGGAACAAGACTGAAGTCCAGAAGTAGATAGATCTTTCCGCGGGTGTTTACAGCCTGTGAATGCTAAGAATATGATCTATGCTGGATCAGGGATAAAAGTAGAGAGATCAACTGTGAAATTGTGTTCCTTATCCTCCATTAAACGACAGATGTCAATGTTGTCTGTGTGATACGTCACCATTGTCCGTGTACTCTATTGTTCCCATATTCCACACCCCACTGCAGCGGGAGTTTTTCTGTCCGACTGTGCTCCCTCATCCATCTTTTCCTTGCGGCCTTTGTCTGGTGTAAGACTGGCTGTGGGTCAAGTTAACCATTTGATACTCTTTTAGTGCTCCACATGACTGACAGTTCTGGTCATCTGTCTCTTTGTAGTGGAAATTTGATCACTGAACTTGAACAGCTATCAAAGCACTGTAGTCAAACGTATTTTAACAATTCCACTTGTCCTAATTTTAAGTTGTTCATCCAGATGTGTAACTGTATGTTGCTAAGAAAAAGCTATCTGGCCTATTCAAACATCAGTCAAGATAAAGCTGTATAAAAGATTAAGGTATAGGCGAGAGGATAGACTTCATTGCATCCCATATGGCCCAGTCTCTCTCCGCAGAAAAGCTAGCTCCCTGGCGAGAGCGTCGTACAGTGCACGACTCCCGTAGCTCTGGTGGATCCCCAGGGATCTCCGTATAAATTGAACCCGTGAACTAATTGGCGCTGCCTTGAAACGAACACACGACCTTCAGTGCGTGAGGCAAACGGCTTAACCACTTCGCCACGGAGACCGCCGGAGATAAATCTGTAGAATTTGGACTGTCTTTGTCAAGACTGATGTCCCTTTTCTAACAGAAACATTGAAGAAGCTGCCCTGCTTATAGTGGATTGGAGTCATATTTAATCACAGTTTAGTTAGGTTTAGAACTTACATCATAGTATTCAGGACATTTCCTTACATGATCCCTCCTCATCTTCAGCAGCCAGCACAGAGTTCCAGTTAAGATGTGGCCTGTTGCAGTCTGGATGCCCGTCTTGCCTTTCCCCTGCGTGTTTAGTTTTTGGCCAGATACCCTGGTAACGCACTCCCCACTGCACCAGTCTCTTTAGACTGTAATGGTCTGTTTGTGTCTACCTAGGCTAGGGCTCGCTAGCATAGTTGGTTATACCTGACTTTGTGGCGACTAGGTGACGAACTCCTTATGGTCCGGGTTCACGCCCGGGGGGTTGGCAGAAAAGCCACATTTATCCCAGATTTACGGTATCTATCATAGAATCAAGGCCGAATGGTTGCGATATCCATACTACCAAGCCAAAGGGTTAACAACTCATGGTTTCTGGATTATAAAAAAAACCTACGCATGGCTTTTCAGCAAAGTTTACCCAAGGGCCACAGTTATGAAAACAGAGATTGTCGCAGGCTTCGGGTCCGAGAACCAGCATAGAAGGACCATTAAATAAAGTACAAAATGGCAATGATCCTCGCGCCACTTTCCTTTGCTGGCCAGATTTGTTAGCGAACGCGCTAGCTACCAGTTTGCTCTGACCGAGGTCTCATATCACAGACTGTCCTTGTGTGATGTGTAAAATAATCACCCGTTCCACTGTTTTTTCCCCCACCATCTTTTGTCAGTTGTCACTATTTTTAAATGTATTTTCCCCTCATAAAAACAACATACCTGTCACAGACGCGCACGCTACTAGGATGAAATAGGAGACATAACCGACCTCTCATGGGAAAAATCAGTAGGAGTACATGGGAGTGGCTGCTGCATCAGGGGACTAAGCGTGCATGGGAATGCCCAATGTGCAGTCACGTCGATTGTGATAACATAACTTTTCTGTACGTCTCTCCACAAATGGCAATCGTTGCACTTTCTACCCATGTCGTTTCTAGGTCATGCTCTGATTGTTGGAATTCTATGCAACTTCGCCCATACTGAACCAGCAAGCAGACGATCACACGGGGATTCATCGGGTACATGGGGTATACTAACACTGGGGTATAATTTAGGCATTCCTGACATAGACTAGGGCACGCCACACTGCAGGGCCGTGGGATGTACTTCTGTTTACTGCTACTTCCCTCATTGTTGGTGAGAATGTCGACTTCTGTTTAGCGTTACTTCCTTCTCATTGTTGGTGACAATGTCAGATCGTTGCAGGCCGGAAATGGTTGCTGTAGCATTAAGTTGCAAATTACTGGTGTCAACTATATCAGCGGAACACCCTTAACAGGATTTCACTTGAGACGAACACTTGGTTAATGCGAACGTAACTTTAATATCAGTAGGGTTGTTTTATTTCATAAACACCAGAAAGACATGTTGACAACAGAAGTCCTGAAATCCCATACTATAATTGTGGACAACTTATTGACGCGGTCGGGTCTTGCTAGTCGCACTCGCCATCACCATGGGCTGTGAGTCCCATGTCTCCTCATATCGCAGTATAACACTATCGTCTGCAAGATGGAAAGGTGCTTATCATCAGAAAGACTTAGCGTTGGTATATTTGGGTGAAACAGTTGGGGTCAGTCGAGCAAGGGGCAAACAGCTGGACCAGGTCAAGATGGCGAGCAGCGGTCTGAGATTGTGTACAGCCAGGGTGAGTTTCAGGCAGCCAACTTTTGTGTTGACAGCACCTGATTGATTCCCACATTGGTCTTACTGCCTTCTTCCCCACTCCGTCCGTGTTTCTACACAGAGGTTAAAAGGGGGGGGGGGGGGTAATGGAACAGTTCAAACGTGTAGAAGCATTGACAGAGCTGACAACGTCAACGCTGAACGTACAAGGTTAGGAGATAATGGCAAATCTATGACGCTAACACGACTGCATGACCGAGTAGTTAAGCTATATGAAGCACGACTATGCCATTTACAAGGTAAAGACAGGCGATATAACCACCAACTCATTGGAACAGTTAGTAGAGGAACCTTGGAGTGGTCCCGGTTCACGCCCGGTGTAGGAAGAAAAGCTACTTTTTCCCCCCAGATTTGCGGTATTTATCATGGAATCAAGGCCGAAGGGTTGCGATATCCATAGTGCCGAGCCTAAGGGTTAACAACTCATGGTTTCTGGATACTTTCTAAATAAGCTTACTAAATGTATTATAATATTTAATTGCCGTTGTCCTGGTAGGGCCTGACTACAAGATATCGCGGGCCTCCCACCGCCCCCATTAATAAGTTGCATTTTGAAAGATATAAGAAATACCCTAGTAACCCAAAGGGGTGAAAAAACAAGAGCAATCACAGAAAAACCCCTCTTCTCTATCTATCTATTGTCTTCTTCACTTTTACCGGGTTGCAGCCCAGTATCGTGGTTTAAAATATTTGTTTTATGCCTCTCGCGTGATTTGAGTGACAGTTTTCTGAATCTTCTGGCCGTATTCAGCTACTCAATTTATCTATTTTTTCCTGGGTCTTCCTCTGGCCTTTCTTCCCGATGTTCTACTGTGAAAGGCCTTATAGGCAATCTGATCAGGTTGCATTCTTACTAAATGGCCAAACCACTTCATTCTGTCTTTCAATATGTTCCATGCATGCTCTTGTTCCAACTTTGTCTCCAATGCTGACGTTTGTGACTCTGTCTCTTCGTGTATTGTTGGTGACTCTTCGGAGACATCGCATTTCACAGGTAGTTATTTTTTGCATATGTGATTTGTTCATTGTCCACGTTTGGCACTGATAACATAACGTAGGGATGAAAATGCTGTTGATCATCCGTTGTTTGGCTGGTAACGAGATCTTTGGATGACGAAGAAGTGGGGCCAGTTGGTAGTTGACTGCATTGGCTTTTTGAACTCTAGCCTGTATATCTTTATCGAGTCTTCCATCTTCTGTAAATATGCATCCTAAGTACTTAACCATACGTAATTAGCACGCCCTTCTGTAGCTATAAAGGTATAGTCTAAAGATGGACGTGGTAGTTAGCTATGTAATTAGGGACCCCAAAGGTTACTTCAAAGCCAACAGTCCAATATGGATGGTTTGTTCTGTCCCGATCACGATAACCAAATTGCTTTTGTGGCAAGGCGTTGCGATTACTTTAATCCGGGTTCCGTCCCTTAAGCTGGTTTGAATTACAAATGTGGCGCACTATGAATAGTGCAGAGTAATGAGATAAGAATGCAAACGAGGTGTTGTGGTTGTTTAGCAGCTATAGCGCTGCTATTCATGTCGATTACTAGGATCGAGATGTCCCGCTGTTTACAAACAACGCCGTGATTCACTACAGTGCTTTCCCGCTCTGCATTGAAATACTCGGGAAAACTAATAAGTGTGCACACTTTATTGCCTGGTATAGTTATTAGGCAATCGTTTGTTTGTTTCAGCTAAATGAAGTATGCTTAAAGTCCAGTTTGTCTGAATTCTTCTTATTTTGTTCCACTGCTTATCTATTAAAGCGTCTCTATATAATCTATAGATCCTAAGGATATTAAAATTAATAGGGTCAATGAGAAAACATGCCCCGGATGAAGGTCTGTGTCTCCAGCCACCTTACGGCTTTGGTCGCTGCCATGACCTCAATAATAAGACAACTTGGCGGTGTAGGTAAAAGCGCGAGACTCTTCTTCCTTTACAATTACTGTACTTTTGCTGTTGGTTGAAGATGCAGTTAACTGTATTTTAGATTATACACAGAAGTACGCATATTCACCCCCCCCCCCCCCAATTTTTTTTAGCTCGTGTCTTAGAGGTTAGTGCCATGGTTTCACAATGAAGTTCTCTACATTTCTCGCTGTTGGATTCGCCCGGGAAAAGACCGCTCTAATGGGTTTCAGACATAGTAGGAGAGTTAACATGGACGTTATTGGAGCCTCACTTCGTAATATTCCCGTGGTCAGCAGTAGAGACGCCAGTTTAAAATTACTCTTATTATTTAAAATGAAAATTCAACACTTGTCACATCATTCCACCCGTACAAACATATGATGAATACATGCCTTGACTTGATTTTCTTGAATTGAATTATGGGGGAGGGGGTTAGAGTTGGTGTTGATGTTAATTACACACTCTAACACCCGTATTCTATTTGACTTTCCACGTTATCTCGGCTCCGAGATGGGGGGGGGGGGGGGCCTTTATTTTTATCATTGTTTTGGTTCTAATATTTTGAAGTATTATCTCATGTGGGGTGTCGCAGTGGCGGACGCTCGGCTGTTGTCAGAAGGTCATGAGTTCGCTCCCTGGTGGAGCCAGACTTTTGTTTCTTCAAAAATGACCTTGGCTTTCATGTTGACCCAGCCGTGAGTGGGTACCGGATGCAGTCCTGTGAAGTAAAGGCGGTAGGCGTGATGCTGACCACATCACCCAACTAGTGCCGTTTGGTCTATAAAATTTAGGTTTAGCCCTATATACCCAATACGCCTGAAAGGCGTGGAAAAGGTCCTTTATATTTTAAAATATCTAATGTAAGCAAGGATATTTCCGTCTCTTTCAAAATGTGATGTAGATTACTAACACTGCACTGAGCCTCTGCCCACTCCTTATTCACGCACGTCTGGTCAAGCCTTCAGGCTTTGTTCTGTTGGGGTTTCCCCCCGAGATGGTGGCCAAGGCGACAGGGATATTCATCAAAGAAGGCGGCCTTCAATGCCAGGATGATTAAACCCTTGGGTGCTCGGCTCCACTGTGCTTGGTCGTGTATTGCCTCCCCTGACGTACGGGAAGTATGGCGCGCGGTCAGGTCATTTATTTCATCTGTGTCGGATATCAAGGGGACAGAGAGAAAGGGAATGAAGAAAGGGGTCTTTTATTCTGAGTGATATGTACGTGTACAGGTATGTTTAGTGCGTCACTGTATGAGTCACTGGTAGACGTGTGTAGTTTTAAAGTTTGTTGTATTCTGAGTCATAGCATACACATGCCTGAATGTGCGGAATTTCTGTTTCTGAAGGAAACGACTTGGCCAGTGTTGTCCAACCTGTTTTCAGGGGGTGCTCCTTTTGAGTATATGGCAACACCCCCTCCCCCCTTCCAACATAACAAAACGTGATAGAAAGAGATGGCAAAAAGGGGTGGGGGGGGGGGGGTAATCACAAGCACTGTTAAGAAGAGCTTGGATAGAGAGGGAAAAAAAACAATTCAAAGTATCAGATAACAAAGAAACAGTCATTACCAACTGATAATTATGTTTATCAGAATATCAGTGTAATACTTGACGTTGTTTTGTCTTGATGGTATCTGCTTTCGTTGGTCTGATATTGGACAAGGCACAGCAGAGGTCACTCTCCACATCAAGCTAGCAGCGCTGTTTTGTTTTCATGGCTGTTCAAGCTGATTTTTTACAAGTACAGATAAACTCAGTTTTCAAACTGCTTGACGCCCCCTTGTAACTACCTGACGCCCCACCCCTTTCCATATTGGACACCACTGGTCTAAACCCTTACTAAGCCAAGGACAAAGAACTGCTTTATAGATCTTTAACAACCGGCACATAAGGCCAGAAATGGGGTGGGCGATTTGATAGGTAAGTAGATACATAGTTTGGAAGGTGGGCAGACACATATAGTTAGGTGTGTGGATAGAAGGGGATGTTTGGGGTAGACGGATAGATAGATATGTGAGCGTGCCAAGGGACATTTGTGCTGCATTTGCAAGGCAAGTGAATGCGTCGATAAGATACGGTACCGGCGCCAAGTGTCGCACACAGAACTTTTTTATGGCCCGTTGAGTTCGGTGAAACAATGCGTATAATCTCATGAAAATGTGTTTGATCTGCACAACTTGGTGGAATACTGATGCATGATAAGGCAGACGTGGTTAATGCCTTGTGGGACAGCGTGTACAGTTCGGAGGAGCAGATGGATCACCACAGTCTGGTGAGATTGATGCAGCGGGGAGTGTCGAGACGTTCTGGCTCGAGGCTCAGAGAAAAGGCAAGACGGACGTTTAATCAGAATGCTACTGGCACCATTAGTATCGGAACTCTTCGCTGGCTGCTGAAGATGGGGACAGAGTGCTTATGGGAATGCTCCGAGTGCTGTGATGTCGGTTCTTGAATCAAATCAAATCATGAAAAAATGACTTGAAGAATATCATTATTTTCAGTCTACTTCTTTTCTTCTTCTCTTCCACCGTGTACCTCAGCGAAGTGTCGGGGGCAGATGTAACGTTCGTTGATGAGCTCTGTCAAGAGCATTATTAAGACATGTTTATTTCTGTAATTTCAAATATTTTCAATAATTGCTGCATATTAAAAATATATGATAAACTGAGGTAAGCGCACTTACTGACTATGCCACATGACTGCGGTACGTCAGATTGCCGACTCCTGAGTCTAATCTCTACGTCGCATTGCATTTGCGTGAGAGGCGAGAAACGAACAGCCTGCATATAAATAAACCGCATTTGTAAAATGGATGTGCACACAAAACTCGAAATAAGAATGAAATCTAAAAGAGGACGAACAACCAGAATTTTCCGCTAGAGTTTACAGAAGGTGAACGCTAGGAAGAAAAGATTCGCAGGTTTATCATTTTGTTTTTATGCATCCCAAACAAAGGGAATCCCAGAGTTCCGCTGAAGGTGCAATATTAGAGGTGGTGGGGCTAGTCAGTGTTTATTTCAAACCGTAGCAACCGTATAAAATTGGACTTTCTGGTGAGCTCCGGGTTTCCATGTGCTTGGGGTAAATAAAAAATAAAGAACCGATTTGCGTATCAGTGTAATAAGGGGACCTTTTTCACGCTAGTGGCGTACAGGGCATGTGAGGCTAGACTCGTCATTTTGTAGACCACGCGGCACATCACGTCAGCTTCAAGGCGGCCGACTTTACTTCCAAATACTTTCTTTACCTGCTACCCAATTTATGCTGGGGCGGCCTGGGAACCTAGGTCATTTTACAAATCCGACTTGACGCGAATTTGACCCTAAGACCTTTGGGACGGCAGGTAAGCGTCTGGCCGCTTCACCACCGCTGCCTCTCCCATAGCTGCAATGATTGGTATTCAGTATCAGTGTCCATTCTCATAAAGCTATGTTGACCCCAGGTCTGTGTTGATCGGTTACAATTATCCTGGTCTGATGCGGATTGAACTAGGATCTAACAGTGGTGAAGTAAATAAGGGAGGACTACAGTCAAGCTGATAACAAGAAGTAACTAGATACCGCACAAACAACGACTGGACGGCTTAACTGAGGGATAGAGAAAGATGCTCACACCGTGTTAGAGACCCTTGATTGTGTTTGTGCACAATTTTTCTTGTTTTTCTCTATTAAATCTTAGT